CTGGTTCAAGTGGAGTGCATGGCCTCCCCAGGTTGCCATTGCTCCCCACTTAATGCCCACTTGTAGATTTAGCCCACCTGCCTCTGACTCCCCCGGAGTCTCACGCATCATAGATTTGGAGGAATTCTGTCCCCCGCAAGGCACAGGGATGTAACAACCCAGTGGGCTAGAGGAACAGAGACGCTTTTTGCACATAATTGTTGTCTTTATCCACACATTCAGCCTCTCTGGAAGATGTAATTACAGAACACATAATCAAAGATAAACGCCTGGTGTCAACAGACTCGGGGTGTCTTGCAGTGGCAGAGCTTGTGCCTAGCATGCCAGCATGGGTCAGGTCTTGGATCTGATCCCAAGAGTTGCCAAATAAAAGCTCAAATATTATATATATATATATATATATATATATATGATAACTTAAAAGAATATTATTGAGCCTTAATTAATAATATTGAGGTAGTGGTACATGCCTTTAATCCCAGCACTTGAGAGGTAGAGACAGGTGGATCTCTGTGAATTCAAGGCCACCCTGGTCTATCTATAAAGTGAGTTCCAGGACAGGGCTGTTACCCTCTCTGGAATAACAGAAAACAAAACAAACTAAGGGGCGGGGGGGGGGGGGGGAATGTGGCTCGGCTTTGTAAATGTCCTAGACATTGTGAAGCAAACTGCTACCTTTTTTCTGCTTCCTGTTTGATTGTTGAGTTTAATTTGCATAGTTATTATCTAGACCCGGATTGTAGAGGATTTGGCAAATACTTTTGATTCTTCGGAACTTACAGAACTTATGACTGGAAAGAGTTTGAAAGGGTTACTTGGTTTTAGTTAAAGACCAAGGTGGTGATAAGGCAGGTGTCTTCCTTCTGCCCCCATTAACACAGCCAGCCTTCACGCTTTGGGTTCTAAATAACGCCACACGAACTACTCAGACCTGGAGGAAACACTACTCAATGTGTATGGAGGAATTGTGCCACTATATTACTGGCCCAGAATATCTTCTACAGGGTGTCCATGACAGCAAAGAGCTACGAACAATCATGGTGCCCAGCAAAAGAAAATGCCCATCATGGTGGAGCCACACTGTGGACACTAGGGTACCATGCTGCTCTATGGCCATGAAGGAGCAGGGACAGAAGGATGTGCACAGCTTGCCCCGTTGGTGGAAAGGAAAGAATAATCTCTATGATGGTAAACACAGGTAAATGCACGCCCGCGCGTGTGTGGTGTTTGGAAAATAGAGGAAGGTAAGATAAGGTCTTGTTATGTATCCCTGGTTGGCCTTTACTTGCTGTCCAGCTCAAGCTGTTCTCAAATTCATAGCGATCCTCCTAGCTCAGTCTGCTGAGTAATGAGATGACAGGGGTGTATACCATGACCTTATCACCAGTCACTTTTGACGGGAAGAAAGCAGGCTCCAGTGCAGGCTGGCCTTAATTAAACTCACCATGTAGCTGTCCTGCTGGTTCTCCTGTCTCTACCTCCTGAGTGTTGGGATTACAGATGTGCACCACCACACCTGGTTTGTGTGGTTTTAGGGATTGAACATGGGATTTTACCCAAACTAGGCAAGCACTCTAACTCAGTCTTGTTCCCAGCTCCTATCAGTCCTATTAGAAGATTTCTCCCTCTCTCTCTCTCTCTCTCTCTCTCTCTCTCTCTCTCTCTCTCTCTGTGTGTGTGTGTGTGTGTGTGTGTGTATGTATGTGTGTGTGTGTGCAATTGTGTGCAAGTGCCTGAGGAGAAGGAGGCATCAGATGGGTATTGGGTACCCTGGTTTTGGAGTTCCAGGGAGTTGTGAGCTGCCTCACGTGTGTTCTGAGAACTGAACTCCAGTCTTCTGCAAGGGCAACAAGTACTCCTAAGCACCAAGTCATCTCTCTTGCCCCCCCATCCCCAGAAGTCACTTTTGAAGGAGACAAGCTAATGGCTATCTTTAGCAATAGAATGGGGTCTGGCACAAGGTGAGTTGTGTCACGTGAAAAGGGGCAGATGGAGGAAGGAGAGCGAAAGTTTACTGCGGAGTTAACAGCCAATAAGAACATGGTGGAAACGCTAGACTCACTTGCCTCTAAGTAAGATGGTAATGGGCAGAGATTTTCTTTTTCTCCCTTTATACATGGGAGATTTGAAGGTAACTAGAATGTCTCTGCTTTAAACCTTTGATTCCTGCCAGCTTTGGAGGCAGCAGGTGGAGAAGTGGTCATTGCTCCGTAATAAGCACTTAATAAAAAGTTTAGTTTTTGAACGATGAAAAACTTTTGGTCTAATTGGGAGAAGTAACTCCAGTTACGTTGTTTCCCAGAAACCAGCACAGGAAATCGCCTTTGCTAAGGGCACCTGTGGCCAGGGACCAACCCCTAAAAGCATGAGTTTATTGGTGCAATGTGTTTTTACTCTTCAGAGATAGTGGGAAAATGAGGGATTCCTGAGGATACACAAAAGAAGGCTGGGCGACTGTGTTTAGACTCCTCTTAAAACAGCCCCGAGAGGGAAGCCTGAAGTGTGTGTTCCTCCTTCTGTTATCAGCTTCCTGGACAAACTCATAGCTGAGACCCAGGATGGGGAGATTACTGAAAACAAAATAACATGATTTTAAAAAAAGTGAGTAAGACACAAACGGCACCACAAGCTGTTGTTCAGGGGAGCCCCACACCCCAAAAATGTAGCATGTAGGTATTAAAAATAACATCCATTTTTTTGTAGTTATGAAAGCAATATGTTTCTTGTAGGAGATTTAGAAAACAGATATATTGGCAGGGGGTAAATTAAAGATTTCTAGGATTGAAGATGAAGCTCAGAGGTAGAGAGAGTCTGCAGAATGTGGAAGTCCCTAGGTTCAGTAGCTGGCACCAGCTCCTTCCTCCCCCCCCCTCCAATCCCTTTCCTTTCATTTCTTCCTCCCTTAGTTATCACTCTGATTATAGTCAATAATTTTATGGATAGTTTCCAATTTCTTTTGTGGGTGAATAAATAGATATGAAAGTAGTAAAACCATATTCCAGGCTCCTGTTTACTAAATATATTGTGTATATTACCCTACCCCAATTCGCTACATAGTCATTCTTTTCAAAAATGCCTTTATGAGCAGATCGTTCTTAGCCAGTTCCTTTTTCAAACACTATACCATAGCACCATAGTGTGTGTGTGTGTGTGTGTGTGTGTGTGTGTGTGTGTGTGTAGGGTTTTTTTTGTTTTGTTTTCTTTGAGATAAGTTCTTACATGTATCCTTGGTTGGCCTAGAATTCACTATGTGCACCAGCCTGGCCTACAGACTCACAGATGTGGAATAGTTGAGTTAGATATTTTGCAACTTTTTGATCTATGTGGCACTTACAATCCCAAGAACACTATATATTTACCAACCTTAGGACTCACGTGCTAAATAAACCCATGACAGTAAGGGAGAGTGATGATTGAGAACAAAGAAACGGCACATAGGTGGGAAATGCTGCCTTTCTTTGCTAGCCTAAAACATTGACAAACACAAAAGCATCCTTGAAAGCTATGCTCCAGTTTTTATAAATTGTGTTTGTTAGTGACGGTGGGCATGCAATTGTCCTTGTGAAATTTTTTCTTTGACGACCTGCTCACTCATGATTTCCATCCATTTCAACACGAAGGTGTTAGGGTTTTACACATTGATCTAAAGATATGCACACATGTGTGACTATATACCACATTTGTTTAATCCCAGATATTTTATATTTATGTGAGGGCTCATAAATGCTAAAACTGCTTTGTCAGTGAAAGTTTATCAAAGCTCTTTTAAAAAAAAAAATCTCACATAGTCTAGACAGGGCTTGAACTTCTGTGTAACCTAGGCTAGCCTTGAACTCCAGGTTCTTAAACAGCCTTCGGAGTGGTAATATTGCAGGCATGCACCACTATGGTAGAATTTCAAAACTGAATTATATTTTTAACCCGTAAAATTTTACTTGTAGCTGGGCGGGTGATGGCAAACGCCTTTAATCCTAGCACCAGAAGGCTGAGACAGGCGGATCTCTGAGCTCGAGGGCAGCCTGGTCTACAAAGTGAGTTCCAGGATGGCCAGGGCTACACACAGAAACCCTGTCTCGAAAAAGAAAAAAGAAAAAAATGTTTTCCTACATGTAGAAAACTAGGCAGAAACTAGTCTTTTTCATAGAAATTATTTATTGATTGTTCACTTTCTAACAGGCCTGGTGGTTATCCTCTTTCGTGCGTTTTCTCATTTGAACATAATGTACCCTCAGCAGACTTGCGGCACTCTTAAGTGGTTGAGGAACTGGGCAAAAAGACCCAGGTAGTTGGTGGCTTTGAATCTAAGTGAAATGACCAAAGGGGGTCATAGAAATCAACACAGCGGGATGTTATGACTCCAGAAAATGCCTTTCTGAAAGCGAGTGTATTAAAAGGGCTTTCTCTCCCGCAACCCACCGTAAGGACTGCTTCCTTGCAATGCTCGGCATGGATGCACACTTCAGAGTACAATAAAATACTCGCTGAGCCCCCTTTATAAGGAGGAACTCGTGCGTAACCAAGGGTGAATTTTCGGGGTCTTCAGTGGGAACTGTTTGGAAATCCACCTCCGCATCGCAGGACAGGCTGAAAAGAAAGAAAGACAGGTGGAAGCGTCCGCAGGTTGGCAAGAGCAGCGTACGCGGAAGTCAGAACTTTTGGGGGCGTCCCGGCCGCTGGTTCCACGCGCGGCGCGCGCAGGTGGCGCCGGGTCCCCGCGCCCCGGGATCAAGTCGGAGGAGTGATTGGGGACCTCCCGTGAGGCTCGGGGAAGGTGAAACCTAGCTTTTCTCCTGGGCGAGGGAGGAGGGTGGGCAGGAAGCTCAGCCCAGAGCCGGGGAAAGAAAGACAGCCATTCCCAGCCCCCCGCCCCGCGGGGCGCGGGGCGCCGGCGGCGCATGCGCGAAGCCCGGCCCCCAATTCCCCGAGCGAGGGAGGGAGGCCCCCGGCGGCCCGAACTGCGAGCCGCGGCGGGACCGAGCGCACGCAGGGGCGCGCCGGTGGCCGGACCGGACAGGCTGCCGAGGCGCTGATCGCCAGCACGCGAGGCCAAGGGCCGGACGGCCACCGGAGGGCACAGCGCGCCCGGTGCGGGGAGGGACCTGCCACCCGCGGCCCCCCACGCGGGGACAGCGATGCGTGAGTCTCGCCCCGGCTCGAGGGCAGGATGTGCGAGCAGGACAAAGGCTGGGCGGCGGGGGAGGAGTTGGGGACTCAGAGCCGGTGACCCAGCCACCCCCGAGCGAGCTACTGCAGCCGGCAACTTTGCAACTTTTGCAGAAGGGGACATTGGAAATTCTGCAAGTTGTTACACACAGTTCCAGATCGCCCCAGGTTGGGCGGGCGGAGAGAGGGGAGGGGGACACTACTGGTTTTTCAGGACAGCAGGCGACCGCCAGCTCCGCTGAACGGGGCAGGAGGGGGCGCCCGTCCAGGACGGGGACAGGGACCGGCAAGGATAAGGGTGACCAAGGGCGAGATAGGGGAAGTGTCTCCGTCCGCTGAAGCTCCCCGTGTCCTCGCAGGGTGCGCCCTGAGATCCCGGTAGCCTCGGATCTGCGGCGGTGATGGATGAGCCGTGGTGGGAAGGGCGCGTCGCCTCGGACGTCCACTGCACTCTACGCGAAAAGGTCAGTACCTCCCAACCCTTGTCACTCGCAACGACTGGGTATTTAGAATCACTTTCGCTCTCGTGGATGTGTCTCGTGTGGGACGCCCCGCTTGGGAACTCAGAACTCTTGGTGCCTATTTGTGCGTCTCCCCTTTTACGTTCATGGGGGAGTGGGAGTGGGATCTTCCTCCAGGGAGAAGACCTGGATATCCAAGAACTTGAAGTCGGTTTTTCCGGAGAGCAGAGAATAGTTATATTATCCCGTTGGGTTTACCTGAGGAGATTACTTTAAATGTTACTAGAATGGACTTTTTAAAAAGATACTGTGTATGCATTTCAGTGTGTAGTTCAAAGTCACATAATACAGCAGGTCTGCCTACCGTACATGAGGCTGCCTTTTCCCTTTCTTGTAATAATGATGTAGCAATTGCTTTTAAGATAAAATTATTAGGCTAGTGCATAGCTCAGTGGTAAAGCAGATGCCTAAATAAATTGATGGTAAAGTAGTAAAGTTACAGTGCCGTGTAAAGAAATATTGGGTAGTTGGTGGTATTGCATTGTTAAGGTAGGAGCTGACTGAAACGTAAAAGCCAGGCCTGGAGGTAATCCCAGCTCTGTGGAGACAGAAGCAGAAGGATCTCCACAAGTTCAAGGCCAGCAGAGTCATCAAGGTGAGTTCCAGGAAGGACTGGGGGCTACACAGTGACACCTTGTCTCAAAACAAGGGCAAGAAGAGATTACTAATCTAACTGGAAGAGGTTACAAACTAGTTAGCCAAGGGAGAGAGCAGAAATTCCCCTGCCAGTTGGCCTTCTGGGGTAGAAGGTGGGGATGCCTGAAACATGATCCTGGCTCCCCTCCGCTCTCCGCTCCTCCCCAGGCTGCTGGTGGCCACTGGGAGGCTGGAAAAGCCCAGAGGACTGGAGGCTCCTCTGTGTTTCTTCCTTCTTGTGCCAGGGCTGGGAAGAGTCATTTGGACAGAAGTGGATCTACTGTAGGGAACTACTAGAAGCTGGAGAACATCCTGTGGCAAAAATGTATTCTCTAATGTCGCAAGGGTCTCAAAGATGACCCTTCCGCCTTGTTTTTGAGACAGGGTCTTGACATGCCGCTCAGACTAGCTGGATGCTTACTGTCTGGAACAAGCAGTTCTCCGATTCATGGTCCTATTGCCTCAGTTTTCTGAGCGCTCTTAGCTTCCTCACAGCATCCGCCTCCACGCCTCCTCCTGTGGTCTGCCTGAGGGTCTGTGTCCGTTTTCTCACAGGAGCCCACCCTAACCCGATAGGACAGAGCTGCTTCAACTGGTACGTCTGAAAGGATGAGACTTGCAAGTATGGTCACGTGCTCAGGTGGACACGAATTTAGGGGAGAAATGTTCTCAAATGGTTTGTCAGCCCAGTGTAGGACAGAAGTTGTCTGATGGGGGCACGTGGGTCTCCTTTCAGCACATGTGTCCTCAGTGTCTGTGGCAGGCCTATTTAGAGTCCCCAGACTCTCCGGGCGGGGGGGGGGTCCTCATAGGGAGTGAGTCTACCTGTTGACACCCCCACCCCCACTCCAGGCCTAGCTTTCCCATGTTACTTTGCTCTTTCCAGAATAGAATGTTCCAGTCTGGGGATCTGGAGACAGAATTGGGTCCTTAATAGATCTTTTCAAAAGCAGGTCACGGTGCTGGACACCTTGGGGGTCCAGAAGTCAAGTTCAGAAAGCAGGGCCAGGGGTAGGGGCTGTTCATGAAACAGTATGTTCTTAGTACATTTCTAGAAGTATGGGCTGAATGCAGGTAGTGAGGGCCACTGGGGAACTTGTCTTCCTGATTGGACATAACTGCGCATAGCTTAGGGCCGTATGGGAAGAGAAAACTTGTGGAAACAATGTAACTCGGAGTTCAGTTGCCTGAGACATTCCAGGCTTGAAGCTGACCTTAGGGTCAAATCTGATTAGTTACAATGTCCCACTTCCTCCCCATACTGCTGACTATATTCTTACTGTATTTCTGCTCCTTCTTCAAAGATGTTTAAGAATGTTTGGCTTGATGGAGTTTTAAGTGAAAATTGCGTGGAAAAGGGACGGGTACCCTGACTGATCTACTGTCTTTGAGGAACAAGGGCTGGCTCATTATCTTTCCCAGACATGGCGATTTTTTTTTTTAATTAGACATTAACTTTAATAATGTGTTCCTACTGCTGTAGAATAACTTTCCAAGTGCCTGGCACACTAGACACTCACCCTTTGTTGGATGTTGCCAGACGAACACAAAGCATGTTTGCATACAGGCTATGCAATTGTTTTTGTGGAGCAACTAGCAGCCATCCTCTCCTGATGGCTGCAGAGGGCACAGCTGCCATCTCGGGACCAATGAGAGCCCCTCTTCATCTGATGGGAGAGTCCGGTATAGCAGCATACAATAATGTGAAAAATTTAACACCGTGGAAATAAGTCTTGGTGTTGTGTGCAAATTAGTAACGGCGGCCTCTCCTGAGCTGAGAGTTTACCATCTCCCAGCCCAGATGCTATGGTTCGTTCTTCCCCCACAACCAGTATTCCACTGTGTCACGTTCTTGCTTCAAGACCTGTCACTCTTCATCTTAAATGCCCAGAGGACTGGAGAGATGGTTCAGTGATGGAGAGCACTGGCGGTTCTATCAGAAGACGCAGGTTCAGTTCCTAGCACCCACATGGCTGCTCAGAACGATCTGAAACGCCAGTCCTAGGCTATTCAACTCCCTCTCTTCTGGTCTCTTTGGGCACTGCATGCACACAGCGTAAAGGTATACAAGTCAGCCAAGCACCTACGTCCATTATGAATAAATGCAATATTCAGATGAAATTCCCAGTTCACACTTTTACCTGGATTTCCTGACGTAGCCTCTCTGGCCTGCTCTCTTATCTTGTCTCCGGCTCCCTCCCTGGGAGCCTCACTTGACTTCCTCTCTGTCCCTTGAACGCCTCAAGCTTTTTCCTGCCTCAGGGCCTTTGTACCAGCTGTTCATTTGCAATCTGAGTTTCTCAGTCTCTCACAGTAGCCTCTTATTAATTTATACCCCCCATGTCACTATTAGATCACCATTTTATTCTCTCTATAGCATTTACTCATATCTCAAGTTGGCCACTCTTTCTTTGCTGTCTTAACCCTGATTCTAAACATAGGTGCTCCACCTACATCTGTCCCTAAGTTTGTTCTGGGACCTTGATGTCTGGAATGGAGAGCCTTCCCTGTATGTTCAAAATGATGAAAGTGAATCAATCATCCAGTAGTTTCTTTTATAAACTGGGGAGAAGTATTTTATAGGAATTTAAAGGTCAAGGGAGACAATCTAAAAATTGCCAGGCAGGCATGGTAGCCGTGTGTGATTCCAGCGCTCAGGAGGTGTAGAGAAGGCATTCTAAGGGCAACCAGGGTAGCTAGACTAGCCAGGATTGGGGAGTTCCAGGTTCAGCAAGAGACCTTGCCTCAATAAAGGGTGAATGGAGAAGAAATTCAGTGCTAACTATAGGCCTCTACACACATGTGCACACTCACACAAGCACGCACACATACACAAACATGCAAACACGCATGCATGCCGCACATGGTCCAGGTTTTTTATTTTAAGACATCTTAGCTGTGCGTAACCATCATGCCAACACTTGGAAGCTGAAGGCAGGAAGATCAGGAGCTACCTAGCTCGTCGGAGGCTAATCTGAACTGCATGCAAACTTACCCTACTTCCCAGAAAAAGAAAGGTATCATCGCCAGGCAGTGGTGGCACACACCTTTAGTCCCAGCACTCAGGAGGCAGAGACAGGCAGATCTCTGTGAGTTCGAGACCAGCCTGCTCTACAAGAGCTAGTTCCAAGACATCCAGAGCTACAGAGAAACCCTGCCTCGAAAAAACAAAACAGAAAGGTGTTGTCATCTCATGAGAGCAGTGCGTGGTGGTGGGAAAGACTCAGAAGTGCAAGTAACTTGGTGGTTTGCTCAACGCCAAGTGTCTTGTGAGAGCAGGACCCAGGAACAAGACGGCTCATCCAAAGACCTTCCACCCAGCCTAGACAGGATTCAGGAACTGATTGGGGGCAGGGTGGCTTTCTACCAAATGTCTCCCACTTCTCCCTCTCAGATCACCTCTGTCCCACACCAAGCCCTTAAATTCCTCCTTTGGTCCTCCTTCTTGGTCCTGCAGCTTCCACAGAAGACCCCTTTAATCCTAAAACACGCTGCCCCTTAGCCTTGCCCCTTCTGTCTGCTGCGGGTTAGTTAAACAGTAGCTGCAGCTCCTACAGGAAAATGTGCTCCTCACCTGTGCCCTCAGCGTGAGAGAGGAGCATAGCATGCCCACCTGGGAGGCACGGAGGATGGAGGTAGTGATGGTTGTTATGGTCCACACCTTTTTGAGTATCAGATTTAAACTCAGAGCTATTTTTTTGTCCTCCCAGAAAATGCATCCTCCTAAGTTTAAAGTGAACGCAGTCTTCAGTCTTCTACCTAATAGATTGGCATAGGCTTGGGACGCACATAGAAGTAGGACACAGACAGCTCCTACCCTGAGACTCACCTCCCCACCCTGCAGGCTTTGTTCTCCACCCTGTGTGCCCCGGGCAGACTAACCTTGCATTGACTTTTCTACGATCGTCATCATCCATGAAGTAACTATTCCTGAAAACTGACTGTGGACATGTGGACATGAGGTCTGCCTTGCCTTAGCATTACCAGCCCAGTGTCTGGTGCAGAGGGACCTCAGAGGCCACTGCCTGACCTAATACAGTCACAACATGCTGAAGGCCTAGAGAAAGAAACCCGGCAGAGTTCACTCAGACGGGTTGAAGTGGTTTTAGCATGTGGTTAGGGCGTGGGGGGGGGGGCTCCTGGATCAGCTGGAGCAGACCAAAGTGCTGGCTGGAGTGTCATACACTGGACCAAGAGGAACTCACCTTCTTAGCGCTCTAGACACCTGGGTACTGTCCTCACAGACAATTCTGGGTGGGGCCATAAAAATACAATTAGTGGGCTGGAGAGATGGCTCAGTGGTTAAG